TGAATAAGTACACAGTCCAGGGTACACTAGGATATCTTAAAAAATGAAAATAGTGAAATACAAGTTACCCTCTAATTTCAGCAAGGTCACCGGTAAGTAGTTCATAGCTGAGAGAGTAGTAGAAGTAAAGCCTAGAAGCTAGAACATCAACAGTCCTATTCACGTTCTTCAGCCGAACAATGCTTGCAGAGGTGCAAGCTTTTGCTTAAAACAACGATTGCTATGTTACTTATGTAATAGACACAGAAAAAGATCCTTGATGAGACAATATTTGTTCACTCACCTCATTGTACTTCTTTTGATCAATCAGCAATATCAAGACAAGCAAGTAGCAGTAGATTTCCAGCTCCGGTAATGGATGTTTTGCAGAAGCTTGAAGTGAAGAGGTAGCACTATCAACTTCCATATCATGCTCATCTTCGTATCACCAATGTTGAGCAATGCAATGTTGGAGAATGTAATCGACACAAGTTTCCAAATTGATGAACACGCATCATAACAACTGCTACAACCTTACACTTTCAAAATAATCACTTTTCTCAACACGAATCGCTCAATAAAGAAAGCCTGAAGCTTTACCTTTGGAAGAGAAGAAGACAGCTTACTATGCGCCTCAGATCCTAGAGGAAAAGCGAAATTGAGGAAAGCAGAGAGAATGGGAGCCTTCAGTTTCCATTGGATCGCCATGGTAAGCTTCACGGCTCACACAATTCGCCTAATTTCACCAATTATCACCACACTGTTTCACTACATAACCCTAGGATTATGCTCAAAATGCATTACATTAAGCAGACTAGATCTAGGGTTGAAAGGAAGCTACCAGATTTTGAAGCACAAGGAATGAGAAGTTCAGCGGTTGCGCCGGAGAAAGAGGCTTGCCAAATCGAGCATCGGAGATCCAGAACCGCCAACATCAAATCTGTCCTCCAGGCACACACAAGTCGGCTCCACCAAAGGGTCGATCGGAGTCTGAAACATGGATCCAAGGTCCCCAGTGCTAGATCAAGTCGAAAAGTCGTCAAGGTTAACCAAATTTTTTGGATCGAATGTCAGATTTGCGCTATTGGAGAACTGTCCCACAAAGAGAACGTCGGCTGGCCCCTTCGATCGGACGATGATGGCATGAACAGCGAGAAGGAGAAAGGGAAAGGATACAAGAGAGAAGAGAGAAAAGGGAAATGAATTTTGGCGAAGGTTGGAGTCGAACTAGATTTGGGAGAGGGAAATATTTAGGTTTAGCTGGGGAGGGAAACTTGGAATGTAGAGAAGGAAAATTGGGGAAAATGTGGAGGGAAGTGAAAATAAGGACAGCCGGCTAAAATCAAAGAGTAAAAAATTGAGTTTAACAAATAGTAAATTATACAGACAGTATATAGAAATCTGTATGTATAAATATATTTATATAAAAGCAAGATGATTTTCGTTGGTATAGATATTCTCTATACAGATGGATAATAATTTTTCGTTTGTATAAACCTAATCTATACTAACAGATATAATTTTTCGTTTGTATAGACCTAACCTATACTAACGGATATATTTTTCCGTTGGTATAGACTTGTTTATACAGACGGATATATTTTTCCGTTAGTATAGACTTGTTTATATAGACGGATATATTTTTCCGTTGGTATAGACCCGTGTATACAAACGGATTTCAATCTGTCAGTATAGACTTCCGTTGGTAAAAGGCATTTTACTTGTAGTGCATAGGATGCTAAGGTAGATAAATTACAGTTGGTTGGAAAGATCCCATCACGGGACAAATTCGTTTCTTGGAGGTTGGTGCCAAGTGGTTAAATTCAAAGGTGAAGTTGTGGTTTCTAGGGATGATAGAGATTTTAATTATTCTTTGTTGATTAATTGTATATGATTTGGAATCTTGGATGGTGGGGGTACCTTTCCCATCGAAATGATTCCTCCAAGGATATGGTAGGGTTATTAGTGGATAAGGTGGGGACTGTTGTTAGCTCAATTATGTATTTTTCTTAAAAAGCTAGTTTTTTTTTTTTGGTAGAAAGGAGATAGCATAGCTAATTAACTAAATACAGAAGTCCTGGGAGTCATAACCCCAATAATATCCGAATACAAAAGATTACGAAGACCGGAGGGACATTGATTCAGCACAACAAAGGGAGAGTCCGACTTTGTACCCTTCTTAGCCAACCAGTCAGCAACATTGTTGGCTTCCCTGAACACATGTTTAAACTGGATGCTGGGGACTTGGGACATCATAGCCCTGCAATCATCAATTAAAACCCCCAGTGAGTGAGAATCAGAATGGGCAGAATCAATTAGAGTTTTTGCTACCATAGAATCAGTTTCAACAATGAGATGGGAAAATCCCTTGTCCACGGCCAGTTTAAGGCCGTCTCTTAATGCCCATAGCTCCGTCGAAAGGCTGGATGTATATCCAATATTCCTGTAAAATCCCAACAGCCAGTTACCAAGTTCATCTCTGAAAATTCCTCCAGCACCAGCATTTCCTGGGTTTGTCACAGCTGAACCATCAGTGTTCAACTTCACAACACCAGGGGGGGCGGGTTCCAACCAACAAAAACAGTAGAAACCGTTTTAGCACTTAACGTAACCGGATGAAGCTGCTTATACTCATTGATTTTTAACAAGATGAAATCCCTTGCCATAACCAACGAGACATTCTTCTTTTCATGAACCAAAAGATTTCGAAAATACCAAAGGGACCAAGTGATGTATGAGAAGGAAGTACTCCATCCCCCACAACCAAAAACTTTTGATTGATTAGAATGAGCAAAGAGCCAGCCATCAAAATCAAGATCATGAAAAAGATTGTTAATAGGATGAGGAGTAAGAAGAGACCACAACAATTTAGCAAAGTAACACTCTCTAAAGATATGATTGAGAGTTTCAGGAGCCTGGTGACACCTGGGACAATTATTAGACTCCACAATGCCCCAATTGAAAAGAGTGTCATAAGTAAGCAATTTGCCATGCTTCAAAAGCCATATAAACATCTGAATTCTAGGAATGGTATCCATATCCCAAATCCAGGACCAAGAGCACTTGCTGTCAAAAGGGAGGTTCTTAGCAAGATAATATGCAGTTTTAGATTTAAAAAGACCATTGCTAGAGTACCCCCAAATAAAAGTATCAGTCCCAGTATCGGTGATATTAAAAGGAATGGCCCTTAGCCTATTAACAATATCAGTAGGGAGTGCATATGAGATCAAATCACAGTTCCATTCCCTGGAGGAAAGAAAAGCATCTCTAATAGTAATATCAGGGGCATTAACCTGGTGTGGTCCATAAATCACAGAACTAAGGGGATCCTTACCCACCCATGTATCATACCAAAAAGAGATTTTATTGCCCATACGAGGAATCCATTTAATACCCTTATCAATGATGTGTTTCCCCTTTTTTATATTTTTAATCACTGGGGAGGCCTTGTCCAAACTGCTACTAGGCTCAATAATATTAAATTTGTCCCGAAAAGCCTTAGCCCAAATATTATCTTTTTCCGTAAGCATACGCCAATGGACTTTGGCCATAGCTACTTGATTCGCTTCCTTAGAGGAACGAATACCAAGCCCACCAAATTTCTTAGGTTGTGTGATTTTATCCCAAGACACAAGATTTGCTCTTCTTTTTTGGGGGGTGGAACCCCAAAGGAACTGCCGAGATAACTTGTCCAACTCTGCATGAGTTGCTACTGGAAGAAATATACCTTGCATATAATAATTAGGAATGGATGACAGAACTGAAGAAACAAGAGTAGTCCTACCAGCAAGGGACAACATACTAGCTTTCCAGCCAGTGAGTTTTTGCCGCACCTTATCCACAATAAAATTACAATCTGATTTAGATATCCTTTTGGGAGTGATGGGGACACCAAGATATTTTCCCAAATGATCCGTTTCAGTAATGGAAAGAACAGAACAAATAGCATTCTTGACAGGCTCCGAGGTATTGACAGAAAAAAGAATTTTTGATTTATCAAGATTGACTTGCTCTCCCGACCTAGAGCAGAAGGAGAAGAGAACCTCCTTGAGAAAGGTAGCATTAGTTATAGTAGCTTTACCAATAAAAACCAGGTCATCTGCAAAAAATAGGTGGGAAAGACAGGGACCTTTCCTACCCAGTTTGGTCCCTTTCCAGTTACCAGAAGCAATACCACCTTGAAGCTTAAGAGATAAATATTCGACACAAAGAATAAATAGATAAGGGGAAAGAGGGTCCCCTTGTCTAAGACCCCTAGAAGGTTGAAAATGATCACCAATTCTCCCATTCACAATGACAGCAAATTCCGACGAAGAAATACAAGACATAATCAACTTAATTAGAGGTGGGGGAAAATTAAAGAAACTAAGGGCTTCTCGGATAAAACCCCACTCTAATCTATCATAAGCCTTGTCCAAATCAAGTTTCACAATCATATCTCCCACACACCCCTTCCTTTTAGAAAAGGAATGAACCAGCTCTCTCAAAATAAGAACATTATCCATTCCGCTTCTACCCGGGATGAAACTAGCTTGAAGGGGAGAGATAAGATTACCAATATTCTTTTTAAGTCTCAAAACAATAATTTTGGTAACGATCTTATAAGCCACATTACACAGACCAATAGGACGAAATTGGGAGATCGTCTCCGGATTAGGGACCTTGGGAATTAGTGTGATAAGACTTTGACACCAAGTATGCGGCATAACCCCATTAATAAAAGCCAATTGGATTTCAGAACAGAGTTTAGTTTTGAGAAGCTCCCAAAATTTCTGAAAAAAAGCAACATGAAGCCCATCAGGACCTGGGGCTTTCCAAGCTTTCATAGATTTCACAGCTAACCAGATTTCTACATCTGATGGAGGAGCTATGAGAAGGTCCCATTCAGAGTAATCCACAGTAGGCGCCTTTGTTATATCCCCAAACAAATCATGAAATGAATGATCTAGGGAGGAAGTATACAAATCTTTAAAATAGGCGAGGACTATGTTATGAATTCCTTCAGGATCATAAGCCCAAGATCCTTGAAGGTCCTTAAGTCCCATAATTCTATTATAGGATTGACGTTTGATAGTAGAGACATGAAAGAACCTAGCGTTTTTGTCTCCATCTAGAATCCATTGAGTACGAGACTTAAGAAACCATAAATCCTCTTCATGTTTAAGGATGTACTGAAATTCCTGATTTAGTCCCTTCTCTAAATTCAAGAGAAAGGAACTGTTTTTGAGTTGAAGAGCCTTTTGAATGCCCGTTAGCCAAGCCAAAATCTCTTTCTTTTTCTTGTGAATATTATCAAAAACAGTTCTGCTCCACACCCGAACAGAATTTTTAAAATGTGTAGAGCACTCTGATATGGAAAGATTAGTGTGGACCCATTCTGAAGCAAATAACTCTTTAAAGGATTCATGATCTAACCAAAACTTTTCAAGACGAAACGGTTTATCTCCTAAGGTTGGAACAGTAGGATGAAGAGAAACCATAATAGGGCAGTGATTAGAGGAAAGTCTCGAGAGGTGAAAGATAGTAGCTTCGGGAAATTTAATCCTCCAAGCTGGATTACCCCACGCTCTATCTAGTCTTTCCCAAATCAGTTGATTAGCATTTCTATTATTAACCCAAGTAAACTTAGGGCCATTAAATCCTAAATCCATGAGATTACAATAGGACATGCATTCTGTGTAAGCTTGAATTCTATAAGAAGGGAAAGGGTTTCCCCCAAATTTCTCAGATTGAACAGTAATGTCATTAAAATCACCAATGGCCATCCAAGGGCCGTTGATGGTCTGAGAAAATTCTCTTAGGTTATCCCAGAGCAATCGTCTAATATTAAACTGAGGTCTAGCATAAACAGCAGATAAAAACCACTCAAAACTAGTAAAATAAGGATGAGAAATTACCTTAACAAGAGCGTGGATGACCTGGGAGCCTTTGTAAAGGGTTTCCACTAAGAATCGGGAATCATCCCAAAGGAGCCAAATCCCGCCAGCATAGCCTTCAGCATCTACTATTTCCCATTTTGGAAATCCCAGACTTCGGGCCACCTCTATCGCCCTATCACCATTAAGTTTGGTTTCCATGATGACAAAGAGTCCAGGATTGTGTTCACGGATGATCTCTCTGACATTCCTTTTGAACTCTTCATTAGCCGCTCCGCGGCAATTCCATGAAAGGACTTTCATTGACCACGCTATGTTACTGAAGGAATTCATGACCCAACGGCCCAGCTCCTGATTCCAACGGACTGAATCGCTCGATCTGTTCTTTATCAACATGTTCACTTCTGGGAAGTAGAACGGAATAGTCCTCTGGATGAAGCGAGCTCTCATGGCACATGGAACCTTCTCCCGTTGAATAATCAAGTGGACGATCTTCATGCATCCCAGTAGCGACATTTTGTTGAGAAACCAGCTGCTCTCCGGAACCCACACTATCTGAGGTGAGAGTTGTTCCTCCCAAAACTCCCACCCCAGTTTCTCCCCTGTCAAGCTCCATGTCGCTCTCGAGGTGAAACACAAGTCTGGGGTTTCCAATGGAGGGGGAAGTTGAATCCATTCGGTTGGGGGTGGAAGGTAAGGGATGGGATCGACTCCCTCTTGAACCACAACCGGACGGGTCCAGTTCCTGGCTACTGTGTCTCGATCCCAACCTTCCACCAGTGTTGATTCCTTTTGCAGAAGCAGTGACAGTGCTTTCTCCATTGACAAAATGTTGTTCTCTTCGTTGACTAGATAAATGTCCCACAGTCGGCACAACTTCCTGAAGGTCCTTGGATCCATTGCCCAAATTTCCAATGGTGGAGGACGACGAAGATTGTAGGTTATTGACATCTTTTGGATGACCACCAGCAGAGATTTTTTTAGACTTATCCTCCTTGCGTGTTCCCTTGGAGCAAGTAATAGAGATATCTCTCCCTTTTGCATTATCCCGAGGCAATCCATGAGGATCCTGCACCATAAAAGAAATAGAGTTAGTATGGGACGAGGTAGTAACATTTGAACTAATTTGGTTAGCGCTAAGTTTGGGTCCTTGATTTTGGGAATGATTCAGAGGTCCGTTAGTATCGATGCTTCCGTTAGTGCCAACGGTAGGAACATTAATTGGGTTGTTCCCCAACGTATTGACCATCTCGTCCCTCCGCTTCGACCCATTTCGTGACTCAGTGAGTTGGCTACTCAGTTTCCCTCCATGTGAGGAGTTGAGATTGCTCTGTTGATTCCCAGAACCAGGAGCCTTTCCATTAAGCTTCCTCCTATTTTTCCTCCTATCCACAAGCATCCATGGACCAAATCCCTGACACTCTTCTATCACAGTATCATCTTTAGCATCCTCGTTGACAGGTTTGGTACAATTGGGGGAGTCCTCCTCCATAACAGCAGGGGCTTGCGACAGTTTAAGCGGGCAGGAGTTCTCTTTGTGGCCAACACATCCACAGGAGAAACAAAGAGCTACTGGACCCTCATATAACACTTTCTGGATATGCTTACCAATCCTAACAAAGGGGACAAGCGGCTCATCAAGATCTACTTGAACGCAAATCCTAGCAAACTGTCCTCTTGTCTGATGTGCTGTATGAGCGTCCAATCGCAGAGGCTTCCCCAATAATTTCCCAATTCTTTCAAGAATTTTCACGTCATAATACTCAATAGGCAGCCTGGGTAGTCTTGCCCAGATAGCTGTGGTAGTGAACGCTGCTTTCTCTGGATCAAAAGCCGGTTCCCATTGTCGAATAGTTAAGTAGTAAGGACCCACAAACCATGGACCCCCATTCAGAACTCTTAGCAAGTCTTCTCTTTCTTGGAATCTTATGAGGAAAAAATCCACACCAAGATCGACACAATCCATCCTTCCTCTCGGTTTCCATTGAGCTTTGATTCTTGGGAATATGAAGTTGTAACCTGCTGATTTAGTTCCGAATGCCTTGATGATAATGGAATTAAGCCATGGCGAGCGTATTCTTTTCTTCTCCTCTCTTGAAATGAGGATTGTGGGAATTGAGCCATCATCCTCACAATCTGAGTCCTCTTCCAGAATATCCAGATTGGTTGTTGCGTCGCAGCAGATTTCGATCGAATCGTTGCGTAGAACCAGATCTTTGTACGACAAAGGCTGGGTAGAATTTTCGATCATTTGATAATCCTCATCAATTGTTGGATAATCCCCGCCTTTGATTCGTTTGATTGATCTACTCAGAAGGTCACCCTCCTGAGTCGAAGGACGAGGGTTGAGTGAAGCGGACATTAAGAAGAGAGAGGTCAGAGCGTTTTGGGTATTCTTTTGGAGTTTCCTTTCAATCTTTTGGGTCTTAAAAAGCTAGTTTAGTAAATATAAATGTTTAGACATTCAAAATATGCGCATAAATATTTTCTTTTTAAATGGTTGTTAAATTAATTTTAAGAATAATTGATTTTTTTATTTAATTGTTTAAATTCATCATAAATATAATTTAAATTTATAACTAA